TCACTTTCTTGGTGCTTAGCAATATAGACTGTCGTTGCTGATCTGAACCCAAAGGGGATTAAGACAAGATTGACCGATTTGTGAGGTTGTGGCTAGATTGGTTTCCCTTTCCTGTGTGTTGGAACTTTAGTTCTGCAGCAACAGATAACGTGAAATTGAGGATTTAGAAAATTAAAATGAGTAATATGTTCGTATACTGTATACCTGAAATGGAAATGTGTCATTTTGTATGTAAATCACAAGTGTTGATTTTTCCATTGGTCAAAGGAGAACTTTGTATAATTTAAGACAATGGGTGGAGCTCGTTTGTGTGTTATCCCACCTCTTCTACTGGGTCTGTTGGCGTTTTGGGGGAAATTCATGTGGATAGATTTGTGGTAGAAAGGTATTTATTTATTTAATTTATTTTTATTTTATTTTTTAAATGTTTTATTTATTTATTCATGAGAGTTAGAGAGAGAGAGAGAGGCAGAGGCAAAGGGAGAAGCAGGCTTCCCGCCTAGCAGGGAGCCCGATGTGGGACTCGATCCCAGGATCCTGGGATCATGACCTGAGCCGAAGGCAGACGCTTAACCATCTGAGCCACCCAGGCGCCCCAAAAGGTATTTAAAATAATGAATTTGACAGTTCTGTTTTTATAAGGTGGTGATTGTTTTGGTGACTTTCAGACAACATCTTTAACTCAATTGAGGGACTTTTGTGGCAGACTAGGGGATATAGGTATAATTGGGAAATGGTCATCTTACTATTTTATACCTTATTTCAAATAGCTCCTTGGTTCCTAGTTGTGAAGTATATTGTTCCTTTGTTGGTGTCTTTTTGGTATAGGTTTTGTCATGGAACTATATGTAAAAGCAATTTACTGTTTTTACTATCTACATTTTCAAAAATAGTTATGTAATATGATCTTTTAATTCTGTATTTACTAAGAAGAAAATGTGCCCAAGGAACTTTTGATTTTTAATGAAAATGAAAACATGGATTATCCAAGGTAAAAATAATAGATATTAACTAATCTGAATAATTATAGCATTTATTTAGCATACTCTTATTTGATTTTCATATGACAGAGTATTTTAAAATTTTATTGAACTTAGATCTTAAACTTGTAGCTGTAACTTAAAACTTGTCTGGGAGAAAAAGTGACCACTGCTAATTCACTATAATTTTGCTGATGTTACTCAGACTAAATTAAAAGGAAGCAAGTGGTTAGTTTTAGTAGAGTACGTAAAATATTTGATTGAAATGAAAAATGATTTTTAATGCTAGGCAGTTGGAGTCCTAATTATAAGTGTTCTTAGTAAAACATGGGTTGAATATTGTAAACCTAATAAATACTGTCTTGTGATAAACAGGACTGAATGAAATAGTGTCCATGAATTAAATCTTTATTGTGCAGTGGTGGGGTGCTCCTTGAAGTTTTTTAAAGATTTTATTTATTTATTTGAGAGAGAGAGAGCGAGAACACGAGTGGAGGGGAGGGGCAAAGGCAGAAGGAGAGGGAGATGCAGACTCCTCACTGAGCAGGGAACCTGATGCAGGGCTCCATCCTGGGACCCCAAGATTATGACCTGAGCCAAAGGCAGACCTGACTGAGCCACCCAGGCGCCCCTCCTTGAAGTCCTCTTATTGTAGGATCCTCATATCCAACTTGATCAGGATTCCTTTAACACCTGAAGTTTTATTCATGGAAGTACCATTGTTTGCTTAGTTTTAAAGAGACCACTAGAACATCCCGTGAGGATTAGTGTGTCCTGCCAAGTAATGGAAAGCAGCAGTCGGTGTGATTGAAATCCATAGCTTCAATGAAACTTGTGTTTATTTGAGCAAAGTCCAACCAATAAACAAAGGACAGAAGATAAAGCAGTCATAAAATGAAGAGGTTATAGGTGTAAATAACAGAAATTAGGTAACTTTCCCCCCAATAAGAGTATTTTGAGAATGCCTTCTCTTAACTATATATTTTTTTAAAAAGCAAGAGCAATATATATACGTATATTTTTTGAGACCACTTAACGAATAGAAGTATTAGAAATACAAGTAGCCAATTTCTCTGTAATCCACTTAATTACTAACTCTGTTGAGGTTGATGTCGGTCTCTTGAGTTCCATTTGTCTGGGGCTTGTATCTCTTGAGCTTTTCTCCTTCAAATTATATGGTCATTAATATAACCACCCAGACTGCAGCTTCTCTTTATTTCAGTTTTCCCTAAACCTTAAGCTGAATACCTGCCTGAAACTACAAAGATTTAATTAAAAAAAAAAAGCTCAATGTTATGAAAGTGTTTAATTTTTACGATAAGATTTAACAAGCCATCAAGTTCTAAAGTCCTGATACTTACATAAGAGACTATTATTTTTCATTACTCATAGACCTGTGCAAATTTCTTTTCCATCTTATCTGTACCTTTTATTATCTTCCTAAAATTTTACCAGATAATTTCTTTTGGTTGTCCTCAGTCTGAAACAGAAAAGAGGGAATGGCAAGTCTTAATCAGATAGCATAGAAATGAATTCTTGTACTATTTTATTGAGGAATAAACTGTGAGCATTTTTTTCTTAGGTTTTAATAGACTATGTTGGGGGAAAAAATAGGAAGCTAATGATATAACATCAACAAGACCAGTGGCAAGGGCTTGAATTTCAGTTACTGGGTTTGTGTAGGAGCAGGCCCAGGTAAACTGTGTACAGATGGATACACGTGGGAGGCCGTGGCAGATGGGGGTCGCCCCACAGAGCTTACCAGATGTGGTTATCCTCTCTCATGGGGAAAACAGTTAAAGGGGGGGGGGGAAATAAATATATCTTCAGGTTTTGTATTATGCTGTATTTATTTCATCTGGAGTTCAGGGATGCGGCTGTGAAGGAGAAGGCCAGTGGAGGGGCTGTATTGTAATTTCAGGGGTCTGGTCAGCCATTTCACTGAGCCCTTGGAGAAAGCCACTGCGAGGTGAGGGAATAGAAGTCCCTCAGCCACTTCATCCCCGACCTCAACCTTCAGCCATCAGATGGAGCAATTCTTTCTTTATCGACTTAGGAACCATTAGTTTTACATCATTTAAAGCTGAATTCTTATTTGTGAAACATCACATTTTTGCAACCCAGCTACAAATATTACGCTTAAATCATATTTTGTTTCTTTCCTAACCCTTCCTGCTGAGGGACCCCTTTTTCCATTTGGCCAGAATTACCATTAATTTACTGTGTCTTTTTATCCTTCCCCAGACAGTTCTGCCCCTTCGATATTTTCTTGCATGGATAGGAGCCCATTCTGTATGGGCCTTAACACTAGTCTTTCAGAGCTTGCTTTTTTGTTAATTTCTGGTGAGTTGAAGGTAGAAGGATCTCTCTGTCAATCTATCTACTCCCCCATTTCCCAAAAGGAAAGACATTTACTGTAACAACAGACATGGGCATCAAGATTCTTTTTAGTCCACTCCCTGTCTCCTTGGCCCTGCCAGGACCTATGGGTAACCAACCCAGGGCCTATTCCTGTTAGAGTGTCACAGTTGGGAAATGGTTTGGTAGGTGAGCCTACCAAAATAGCTGTCATCAAGGAATTTATAGATTTTGGCACCAACCATGTACAGGAACTGTAAGACTCATCCCAATGTCACCATTATAGTCCAAATCACTTTATGTTTACGGTAAGAAACACTATCAGAATTCAAAAGGAGAAGACCTTTCCCAGAGAGTCCCATAAACAAAATAAATTTAGAAATCCTGTTGTTCTAGAACCCATATACTTGAACCCAAGATGGTTCTAGACAGGGGAATGCCAGAGCTAAAGAGCATTAGCTTCCAGGTGCCCCCAAAGACAAAACCGCCCCTCCATGGGGGCATTATTGGTAAAACACCAAGCAAACCTGTGTGTGTGTGTGTGTGTGTGTTAAAAAATGTTACTAAGTGATCTGTTTATGAAGTGGCTCTGTTAGTAGAACTTGAAATTCTTTTATAGTTTAGAGGTAATCTAATTTGGGTATTTCAAAATAGGACTGTGTGTTTGAATGAAGTCTTTGAACCTTCTCCAACTTCTTTTTTCCTGCGTGACCTTGAGTAAGACATCTAATCATAACTGTGGAAAGTAGGAGTAAAGATATCTGAGGCTGATTATGATTATGTTGATGAGCAGTTTGTCATCTACAGGGCCACTGTGAAGGTGGAGGAGAAATTTAAAAACTGTTGGATGTGTTTTTAGAACAACAATTTCGGTGTAGCATAAATTGCCAGCAGGCTCCATTCTTGGGAGCCTGTGTAGATAGAGAAGGCAGGGACCCGGAAGCGGTCTGCTCAGCAAGCACTTCTTGCCCACACCGGCTTCCAGGCATGCTTAGTTTACTTAGGCTCAGCTAAGTAGCCAATTTCACAGAACAGGGAGGCCCTCCCCAGACTTGATTTCTTTCCATAGAGCCTGGCTCTGTGTCCAGTTGGTTCCCCCTTAAACTGAGACAGATCCTCAGGCTTTTTCACTTAGCAGCCTTCAGTGCTGAGAGTAAAAGACTTCTGTTAGTCCACATGCCCCGAATCAATTCTGCATCAAAAAACAGATGTTTATACTAGTGTGTGTACCTGGGGGGAGGAGGGAATTACAAGATCTTTCTTTGTATTTTTTTCCTTAGTTGAGAAAAGACAGGTTGTTTCTATTAAAGATGGGGTTTGAGTGGAAGAGATAGATTGGGGACAGAGGGATTACACAGCACAAAATATTGTTAATCTAGTCAAGCAAATTTAGATTCCATTCTGACAGAACAGCTGAGACCAAGCCCCTTGGAACTAGTCCAGTTTGAGAATATCTTACTTGTTATATTCATTAAAAGGATAACTGAAAAACTAGGGGTTGGTTGTAAGATTACTGTTTTTATTTTTTGGTGAGTGGGCGTTAAATGAACTGTTTTTCAGGAAATAGTGGGGAAAAAATAGCCACACACTTTTAGCTAGTCACTCCTGAATCAGTGAGAATCATCATTTTGTTAATTTCATCAACATGTTCATTTCTTTCAGCTCCATGTTCATGCATGTCTTTTAACCCGGAAACAAGAAGACTGTCCATAGGTCTAGACAATGGTACAATCTCAGTAAGTACACATAAATAAGATTTCCAGTTGAAATACTTCCCTTCCTGTGGAGTATGTATGTATGTATTGGGATGAGAATTATTTATTAGTTTTTCTCAAATTAACAAATTAATTTTCTTGCTAAGTGAAGTGGAAATTGCAGGGCAGCAGATTATGGTGAGGTGTAGAGAGAGCTGGTATCAGTCTCAGCTTAAACATTGACAAGGTTCAGCTTGCCTTCCCATGGACCCAGTGGCTAGAATAGGAGCTTTATGAGGCCCGTGAACAGACTACATGAATCTGTGTGTTAGTGAGAGCAAGCAAGGATACTCACGGCTGTGATCAGATGGTTAGTCATGGTGTCATGTGCTTCTTCAGACAAGTGACAGAACACAAGGGAAATGTCTTCTTAGACCTGCATGTCTGATCTCTAATACTTGATGTTTTCCTCCTTTCCCTCTTCTGCTCCTTCTTGTCTTAACTCCCTCTAGCTGTGAATAGAGTCCTGTAAATTGTATGAATTTGTAAAAAAAAACAAAAAAAAAGCACAGAATCTACATTAGGCTATAGGGTAGAGTCAGATAAATATTAGGCTCTTTTTTACTGTAGATCTCGAGGGAACTGAAGTGATTGGGGATTGGAGTTTCAGGTTTTACTACTTAATCTTTTTTTATATATTTAATTTCAGCTACTGTATTAACCGAGTGTAATAAGACTGATCTGGTAAATTCTCCATTTTGGTAAATTATGCAGTATTGCCTTCAGTCCCAGCAACAGAGGCCCGTGAATTAGAGGACCTGTGAATTAGAGGACCCTGTTCTGGCCACATTTCCCCACGGGAAGAAGGACCTAAGAGGTTAAGGGGGTGTGCCCAGCCCTTACACACCCACCCCCCATATTCTGAGTACCTGACTGGAATTTTCCTGACCCCAAACAGCTTAGAGCCTGCATGTACTATATTGTGGAACTTTAAGGAGTCTAGAAGTTCTAAATTCGTTCCTGTACGCCCAGGTGGTTGAAGGTATACTTGTCAAGATTGGAGGAAGAGACCATATTTTATTTAATAGTTTAACTTGATATATAACTTTTAAATATTTAGACATATGGAATGTGGGTTTCCATCTGTAATCTTAACCTGAGTCTTACACGGGGTCTGAAGAGGTGGGCTTGAAATTTTCCATTTGGTCTTTAGTCAAAACATTTATTTGGTGACCGTTACGGAAATTTTAACAATATTATTAAATATAAACCTGTTGATAAATATTTATGGAATTTCTATAATGTCCAGTGTAGTTGGGAGGTCTGTAAACTCTGTTCTGTAGGAGGACAGAAGAGAAGTGAATGATACAGATCTTTATCTGTTTTAAGGAGAGCTATATTTAAAAAGCAGAGTGTGTGGGGGATAAATTTATTTTTAAGAGATGAAGGGGGGTAACTAGATTGTTCAGTGAACTGAAGTTCATGGCAAAGGAAATCTGAAAAGATGAGTTAAGATCTATATATTGTCCAACAGTTCATGGAATCGTATACGTAACACTCACTGTCCATGAAAAGACTTAAGTAAATATCATATGGGTTAGTCTTTGCATTTTTTGAAATCGGTGTAGGTGGTTAATGGGTGCTGATAAACTTGGCTTTGAGGGAAAGAAAGGTGAACAAAGTAAGTTATGGAGGGTTCTGGCTATTTATCGTATATAAGAGGAGAGACCATCGTAGCTATTATTCCTTTAGTAAATGAAACTTCCAGAGAAGCAGAACATAAATCAAGGGGGTTAGCTTGGGATGCTTCTGCAGGTGTATCAGTACAGTGTGGCTGTACCAAGCCTTACCTTACCCTGATCTCCTAGAAAAGATTAAGGACCCAGCTCGTGTGACATAATTTCCTTAAAAGGACCTGTTTTATATTGTCAAAGAGGATGAATTGTATACACTGTCTCCTCTCATTTGAAGAACTGTAAAGAGCTGAGTTAGGAAAGGCACATGGAAAGAAGGGCTTGTTTAAGGTTCAGCGTTCTCAGTGGGGTTAGAAACACTTACGCAGAGTCTCGGCTGTTCACTTTGCAGACGTGACAAATCCTATGCAGAGACTATTCATTCTCTGTTTCCTGAATATAGCAAATAAATTTTAAAAAGAAATAACTGGTTAACTTTTTTTTTTTTTGGTTAACTTATTTTAAAACAAAGAAAGGAGGAAATCAGAAAGTAAATCCTTGTTTCTCTTTATTCTACTGAATAAAAAAGATTCAAGAGGCAGTTAACCTTATGTAACTGAAATGAATTAGAGATGAAGTAGAGACAACCAGTACAGACCATGCTTTCAAAAACTTGTCCGCAAAAGGAAGGAGAGGGAGGGTGAGCGCTGCAACAAGATGAGACATTAGACAAGCAGCAGGAGGGTCCTGAACAACTGGCAGAATTTAGCTTTAGGGAAGAATGGGGAAACTGTTGAGATAGAGCGAAAGGCAGAGGCAGTTGTGAGATGCAGGAGAGGAATGACCTTTTCAATTTCTCATGAAGTAGCAGGTTAGATCACCTACTGAAAGAAGCTAGAATGGGTGAGGGTATGTGTTCATGTCTGTACATTTTGCTCTTGCTAATCTTATAACCCCGATCCCCCTTCTGCCGTCTTGGTCTACAGAGTTCCAATTATCTCTCAATGCCTTGTTCCAATGTCATCTTGTCCCTTTTTGTGGTTTGGTTTTGTTTTGACGGATGGTTCCTAAGCCCTACCAGTTGAAATGAATCACACACATTACTCAGGTTAGCTATATTTTATTGCTCATTTAACTTGTTTTGTAAAAAATTTTTTAAGTCTGTCTCCTCAGTTAAAGTGTTGAGTGTTGAGGACTTGGCTGGTTTTTGTTGTTGTTGTTGTTGTTATTTTTTTTTTTAAAGATTTATTTACTTATTTGAGAGAGCGAGAATGAGCGAGAGTACATGAGAGGGGGGAGGGGCAGAGGGAGAAGCAGGCTCCTCGCTGAGCAGGGAGCCCAATGCGGGACTCGATCCCGGGACTCCAGGATCATGACCTGAGCCGAAGGCAGTTGCTTAACCAACTGAGCCACCCAGGCGCCCTTGGCTGGTTTTTTACTCATCTCTTCTCCCAGTGGATCTTAGTATGGTTCCTTGTACAAATTAGGGACTCAGTGAATAATTTGTTAAATAAGTTGTTGACTAAAATACAAACACTATTATTATTTAATATAGCTGCTTGTAATAAGTACCTGCTTGAATTCTGAGATAGTTTATTTGTATAATTCTGTTGCCATTCAAAATATTTGTCACAATGAAATACCTTCTGCAGGGGAAAACAGTATGCCAATAGTTTAATTCATCTATTCATCTTGAGCTTTCAGAAATGTCATCTGTTGTGATGTCAAAAGAAGTCACTCATATTGTGCAAACTGCTATTCATGCTGAAGAAGGACTTCGAAATTTTCTTTTTTTTAATTGTTATTTATTTATTAAAGATTTATTTATTATTTATTTGAAAGAGAGCATGAGCAGAGGGAAGAGGCAGAGGGAGAGGGAGAAGCAGACTCCCCACTGAGCAGGGAGCCAGATGCAGGGCCCAATCCCAGGACCCCGGGATCATGACTTGAGCCGAAGGCAGATGCTTAACCGACTGAGCCACCCAGGTGCTCCAGGACTTTGAAATTTCCTATCACAATACCTCATGTATTCTAGCCAACCAATGAATAAATCTAAATATCAACAGTGTGCAAAAGAGTATGCTCAATTCTAACATGTGGCTCCTGGTCTCAGAAAGCTTATTCAGCTGGGGGGAAAAGGGAGTGTGAAATTGTAAAATAAGTAACAAAGAGTAAAAAAATAACAGCCCCAGCAGGAGTACACCAGTGAATGTGATGCTGACGGGACAGTGAGGTCAGGAGAGCGTGGGAGGTAATGGCCCGGGTCAGCTCCGTGGAGACAGGCTGTGAGCTGGGTTTAGAAGATGGGCTAGGATTTTGTTGGCTGAAGATGGGAAGGTAAGGTATTTCAGGCAAGGTGAATGGCATAGGGGAAGAAAGCATGGTGGTAAGAGAGGGCAAGAAGTGTTTGGAGAGAAATGAACCAATTTGAGAAGTGGAGTATAAAATATACAAGGTGGCTGGGGTCCTGGCTCAGGATGAGTAGTTGGCATATGAAGGAGCTGGATCCCCAACAGGGAACATCTCCCTCCAGCACCACTGGAAGACTTTCTAAGGTATTCAGAGAGGATAATTGGTGAGGAAATGTCCACGCAGAAACGAAAGAACTTCCTTAAACTAATTTTTACCGAGTCTACTAAATAACGGCTTAGTCATAGAGATGTATAGATGCTAATCTATATAAATATATAGATTTTCTGCTTCATCAAAACTGTTAGTGAGCCGAAGTTTTTATTGAAATCTTGCCGGATAAATGCATACTCATTGAAGATTTATTTTTTTGAACAAAGCCCCAGAATGATAAATCTCTATTCTCTGAAGATTGTTTTCATATATGTGTTTATGGTAAATTTGGGATGAGAAGAAAAGATTGATCTATATAATGGTTAGCATTCAGGATAATGATTATTATGTAAAAATAAACGATACTGACCATGTATGGATTTGTTGCTGTTGTTTTCATAGTTCTTGCGGTGATTATGTTCCTGTAGTATATATTGCTGTTAGTTCACATAGTTGCCCCGGGGAATGAAAAAGGAAAGAGAACTAAATACTTATTGAGCATGCACTGTGTCCTAGACACTCTGTTTCATATCTATCACCTCATTGCAGCGTCACAGGAATCCTATGATGTAGGTGGCATCACTCAACATTTCTCAGAGAAGGACACTAAGGCTTGGAGAGTTCATGTGCCTTCTCCAGCTTGCTTAGCCAGGAAGCAGAGCCGGGAACTCTGGGTGCCTGTGGAGCTTGGGCTTTCTCCTCACCCATGCTGCCATCCAGGAGCCACTTCTTTGTCCATAAAGATTTCCCGCTAAAGGGTTTCCATTCCCTGCCTGTTGTTCTTGCCCAATAGGCAATTATATCTCT